GAGAGAGAGAGAGAGAGAGAGAGAGAGAGAGAGAGAGAGAGAGAGAGAGAATCAGAGTCAGAATCATGTTTTTGAGTATGGAATAACCATACTCATACTCATAAGACCAAAACATTTCAAGCATCATGCTATTACTAGAGACCCAATCCAAGGATATGATATGATGAAAAAAAATCTTTTTCTTTTAAGCAAGTTCAAAATGTAGGCACATAAAATCACTGAACATTGTATTATTATGCATTAAGTAATAGATATCCAAAATTGAAACATGGCATTCTAAATAGTAGTAAAAGAAGCAAGCTTTCAAGTTCACCCATTAATAACACAGTTAAAGAAGAGGCTCAGAGTGTAGGAGGTTGCAGTGGCAAGTCCTTGCCAAACTAGAGAGAACTATCAGTGATAAAAGGATCCAAGGCTACTCTAGTCTCCCTGGATTCTCAGCATCTTCTGCAAGAGACAGCTTCTTGCCTTCTGTCTCCAAATCCTGTTGTATAAGAGCTTCTGGGGAAAACAAAGAAAAGACATAGGGTAGAAAAAGTATGATTTATAAGGGTTAAGGATGTGCCAGAAGAGAAGAAAGTCATATTCAAGAGGGGGAAAGTGCTTATATGCTGAGCTGGGAAAAATGTGGGACATGGCCATCCAGAGACATGGCCTTCCTCAAAGACTGACATGCTCAACACAGCTAAGTATAACTCATGTCTGATTTCCACAGCAGCTGACCAAATTTATATTGCATCTGCCTTACACGGCTTTCGAGTAGTGAGAATTTCTGTTTTCCATTGATCCTTTATTTCCCTGTATGAATTCATACTTTGTTTTTTTGTTATTGTCTGCTACCTGGCTTTGCCCGAATTGCTAATCATTCTATGAACATTCCTGTGTGTGAACATGCAAAATAGTTTCTCCAGAATATGTTCATTGAATAGACATGCTTCAACTTAACAAGAGAATTGAAAACTGTTTTTCCGAAATGGTTATGCCAACCACACTCTCACTACTAGAGTGCAAAAGTTCCAGTGGGCCTGTATCTTCACCAATTCATTATGCCCTCAAAGTCTTGGTAATTTGACAGATGTCTGATGCCCATCTTTGACTGCTCATGAAATTGAGTAGACTTGACATTGCTTGTGTTTCATGAACTCTTGCTCATGCATTTTACTGGTCTGTCTTGGAGATTCCCAGGTGAAGGGATTTGCTAGTAGAGCCCTTACTCTCCGTCTTTTCCTGGCTGGAGTCTTCTATACAGTGGTGACAGGAAGCAGAGATTGAGAGATTCATCGTGTTTTTCCTAAATTTAAGTAGAAATACAACTTCAAGTTTTTCCAATATGGTTCTTATTTTTTTTGAAAGTTATGTTCTACTAAACTGAAGACATTCATTCCCTACATTGTTTCCTAACAATGCTTTTTATCATAAATGAACATCGACCTTTTAATGCATCTTCAACAACAGAAGATCAATTGCTAAATTATTAGTGGAGTAAATAACATTAATAGATTTTTAAAAATTGACCAACCTTATACAAACTACAAATAGTGCAAAATTATAGAAATTGTAAATAAAGCTAAAATATGTCATTCTACAAGAATTATTTTGAATCATACTTTTATACATTCAAAGATTTTATACTAATATGCTTTAGTAAATTTTTGAATGGACAATAGTGGATTGTATAAAAGAAAAAACAATGATTATGAAAAAAAGGTTATGAATTTGAGAACGAGTGGAAAGAACATGGAAGGAGCTGTAGGGAGTAAGGGAGGGATAGAAATGATGCAATACAGTACTTATGTATGAAATTCTCAGAAAAAAATAAAAATTTATATAAAAAACGAAAATTCAAGATCTACTTTTTCCATAAATATATTTTTTATTGTAAGAAAAAAGAAGAGATGCTATTTGTTCTGTTTATATGACTACTTCCTAACCTATAATTAGAGAAAGGGTTGTCACCTCTTTGGCAATGATCCATATCAGTGGGAGACTTTTCATCTGAAGGTGCCAACCTCTGCTTATCTGACTCTGCCCATTAAAGGATTGGCAAACAACTTTCTTGCCAACATATGAGGGAAAAAACATTTTTTTCTTTTATTAGTGTAAGTACCTGTTTGCATAATAGCTAAAACTTTGGATAGTTTGTTGGGCACGCCTCCCAAAGCTTATACTATCTCCATACCTTGCTTGAATGTAACTCTTCAAATTCCTGTATCATTTTGGCTGGGAGCTACTGTGCCCAACAGCCACAAGAGGCACAGACAAGAGACTCAGTAGGGAAAGCACCTGCACAGGTCTCCTTCGGTCACCAAGATCTCTGGCATCAGACTGGCAGCAAGGGTTAAATGACACAATGGTGATATCAAAGCTAAAGAGCTCAGGTTCTGGAGCAAGCATAGATGGAGCCAGAGCAGCGTGGCAGCTAACACGCACAGGAATGGGGGCACAGGTCTCTTGAGGTTAGAGGCAAATGCTTGACAGGAAGGCAAGAAGCCAGTGGGTCAGTCAGAGCTGTCTCCAAATTTTAGCATCTAAAAAGTTCTTATCTGCGGCCTCAGGCTGGAACCCTTAAGGCACAGTGTAAGATTTGAAACTATGTCAAAGGAGACAGAAGGAAGTTGACTTTGTATTTGAGATTGGATGTTCAGGTAGCAGGAGGCTATTGGCATTCTCCTCTCCCTGGCACCCTGAAAGTTCATTTTTCTTCACATGCTCTAATAGCACAGATTCAGATTTTAACTATTTTCTGCAAAATTCTGCAAAAAAAAAGGAGAAGTGGGTATAGGAGATTTTTTTTTAAAGATCAGAAACACCTTCCAGAATAGTATTCCATCTTCTGTTTGCATTATTAAGAAATTTAACTAATCTAGCTATTTTAACTTATAAACTTTATTATAAATAACTTGCAAATAGAAAACACACTCAACAAAATTTGTAAGACCCAAAGTCTCTACATCTCAGAGAACTTCTATACAGTTAGAATAGCTACTTGAAACAGAAATTTTATAGCTTCACATTGGAGTCTACACTTTCCACTTTTGCATATATGTATGAAACTTAAACCTTTATCTGACATATATATATATGCATGTATATATATGTGTATGTATATATATATATATATATATATATATTGAAAATCCATGACAGAGTTATAACTATGAATACAGTAAGCTTTACATGCTCTGTCTGGAAATGGTCTGTGAGATATGAAAAAGAATAATTTAGTTATTTAAGAGAGTTTTATTTTGGTTGAAGCTGTACCACATCTTGAAGTAATGAGTTCTAAGTGCTCATATATATAGCCTGTCACGAGTCTTCATTTTTATCTGTCCCTAATTTATCCTTCCTTTTTTTCTAGAGGATTTAGCATGTGGGATTTTTTTAAAAAAAAGCGATAAAGGCTTAAGTAGTAGCCCTTCTCAAATGTTGCTTCCCTATAAAAACCTGCATCTTTGATGATAACTAAACCCAAGAGACTTGGGACAACATGAAAAAAATTATCCCCATGGCTAAGATGACTAAATAATTTGAGTGTGTCGAGACAAGAACAAGAACTACCTCTTACAGACATTAACAAAATTGGGGAAACACTGTGATAAGAGTTTACTGTGATTGAGTAGTTAGCGTAGAGCAGAGATTCTCAGTCTGTGGGTGATGATCTCAATACTGTTCAAAGCAGTAGCAAAATTGCAGTTATAAAGTAGCAACAAAATAACTTTATTATTGGGGGTCACCACAAGACGAGGAATTGTAGTAAAGGATAGCAAGCATTTGGAAGGTTGAGAACCACTGGTGAAGAAGAAATGGCCAAAACTAAAAGGAGTGGCCATACTTTCACCAAGTCTTACCTGTCCATTTGGGGCCTGACTCCCCAGTAACTTGTGACATCACCTGCAAACATCTAAAGTCTAATTCCTAATGACCCATGGAGTTTTATCCTGATGGCCAGTCTCAAGGAAGAAATGGTGCTGTGGATTCTGCCAATTAATAAGCTAGTGAGTGCGATGTTCACTTAGCTGTCTTGATACAACCGCACACAGTGGACACATAAGACCAAGTAACTTCCCTTAGCTGTTATAAAAGCTCTCCCAATCTATTCAGGGAAGAAATACTCTCTCAGAATTTACCCACCCTCCCCACAGAGTCCCTCCTCCAGAATATTCTCTTTATGAAAACACATTTATAGCTATTCTAGTCTGCTAAGCACTTTTACCACCAGGCATTTGGATAGTCAGCCTTGTTCCCATGGTGACACTTTGATGGTCCATGTGACTCTCCTTGTTTCCACTGGCTCTACCCGCTCTTCCTTCTGATGCTGTGGTGGGTGCCTGATTAGTCTGGGAAGAGTTGAAGGTCTCTGACTGCAGCTGCTCCCCAAAGAGAGCTGAAGGCCCCCTGAGTTGTGATGTCAGCCATCAGCAGGCACACTAAAGAGAGCCTTTCAGTCTTCTGTGGAGCCCTTGTTTTCTGTTTGCAGCTGAAGGTCCCTGGCCCAGGCTGTCTTTGGTAGACACCCCGACATCAGTGTTAAAAGAACAGTCCATAATAGCCCATCAGGATCCACTTTACCTTCTTTCTGGGAGGACCCTAACTTTTAATAGGTGACATGGTGGCCATGGCAACTTATTCAGGATAGAACTGACATATATTCTGTGAGGTTCTTCTCCCCTCTCCTGTTCACATCTGTCCCTTTTTGTGGCATGTACCACTGCTCTCTAGAGTAGGAAAGAATAGCCTGTGGCTGATGGTGTTTGAACTCACCACCTCCTCTCAGCCCAAGAAACCTACAGGTAACCAGACTTTCGCTTTCATTGGAGCAATGAATTCTCCATTTCCCTCAAGATGGATTCTTGGTCAGTTTTAGTTTGCAAACTTTTCTATTTTAGGTGTGTCTAGCCTGACCAAGCAAATGGGGTTGGCCCTGCCTTGTTTTCACCTCCATGAGTTGGGACAGTAATTCTTTTC